TGGATTGAATTCATCCCAGTGATGACCCAGAGTGTGTGACTCTCAACAAAATAGAAGTTGAATACGGTGCATTGGTTAGTTATAAATACAATAAAAGCACCAACTAAAATGTCCTCAAATTTTGTAATATTTGTAATATTACTCTCACACACAATAGTGAGGGAAAATCAAGAGAGTGAGTCAATTGAGATCACTTTCTCATATCTCTTAATGCTGGTAACAGAGTTGCATTGGCACAAGCTTAAGGACATGTTGGCCACCCAATTTTCTGGTCAGGAATTGCTGTTGGGGGAAACTGAAATTTGGGGCAAAAGTATCTGAGAATTAGGAGACTACAATATCTTTCACATCAGGAGGATGTCTCAGAGCACTAACAATGCTAGTTGGGCACCCGAACTGGAGATAGGAATTGAGGGAGGTAGATAGGGAGGGGAAAGATCATCAAAAGCGTGGTCAAAGAGATGAGTTTTGAGACTGGCCTTGAACAACAAATTACATTTCTATAGCATCTCTCAAGTCAGGAGGACGTGCCAAGGTGCTGAACAAAGTGAGGGAGGGAGTCCGAGGACTCTGGGATGGAGTCCAAAGGGTGGGGCAGACTGGCTGATAGCTCACCCACTGACAGTAGGGCAGATAGGCCTGGGAACACAACGTTGAATGAAAGGAGCAACCGGGTTATTATGATTCTCTGGTACGAGCACTTCAACAAAATAAGGCTCATTCAGGTATATCTTCTATTTATTATGCACGATGAACAATCTGTCAAGAGTGTTTTATTGGGTTCGGACAATCCTCAGATGCATCTGGAGCTTTACTCAAGGTCTATAACATCACCTAAATCCCTCAATGTTCACAAAATGTTCTCCTGAGTTACTGGTATCTTGCTTTTAGTTTGTCAAACAATTGTATTGAACTTTGTTTGAAAATGTTACTCTGCTGTAGATTTACCAGCATTTATTTTCTTCTTTTGCAGTTGCTCTGTTGTTTGAACTTTGCTTTCAAGTCACATGAATATTTTCCTCTGGCTTATCAGGCACTAAAACCAGCAAAGCCGCTTTCAACCAGCATTTATAGGCCATATCCAAATATAATGACTTTCAGACCTACTTAACGTGAATGTGTTCAAAAAGCCACTGCTTACAGTATCAAAGCTGTCATTCTTGAACCCAGCACATGTAAACTGGCTTTAGCAGAATGAATGATGGCTTTGAGCAGTCTGGAATCATATGATTCAGGATATGTACCTAATGCTATTAGACACAATGTGATGGGTAATGACTGTACTAAATAAAATAACAAGAACCACAATACTCAGAATAACCAGGCTGATGTGTAATGAATTTTTGAAAGCAATAATCTGTACACCTCCTCCTGTGAGAACATCACCCATCAATAAAATGTTTATTTTGGGGTTTGCTGCTGTTCAATCAGTAACTCATATGTACCTTATTCTTACATTAATTTCACTCTGGGATTTCCACGTGTTGGTGGGATGCATGAAATTCTCATCATGTAGCTCAGTGGTTAGAGCATTCGCCTTGCAAGCAAGACACATGGGTTCAATTCCAGGCAGGGCGAAACTTTGGGCAAGTTTGCTTAATCCACATGCCTAATAATAATACCTCCAAAACAAAACGATAATAAATTGGTCATTTTTAATTCACGTCTCAGCCTTCGATTCCATGCTAACTACAATTGGAATGAGAAATGCACTGGATGCTTGAATCAAATTGTTGCGAGTGTTTTGGGATTATGTGACTGTTTGAACTAGGTTTTCTAGTATAGGCCAGTGAGACAACAGTGCAGTGATTTGAAACAAAACTGAAAAGCTTTTTTAGTTAAATATTTAGCCCCAAATTAGTCAATTCACTTTACAGTGTATTCTGTGAAACGCCTTGAGACATCTAGAAGACGGGAAAAGCGCTATATCAAATGCAAGAATTATTATTATTATCTTGCTTTGGATACTCGTAAGCATGGTGATAGGTTTCTGCATGCGTCAGCTGACCAAAAATATATTCTTAACTTAGTGTTGATTGTGTACATGTGAAGTGTAATACACAGCACCACTGGAAAATGTTTGTATGGATTTTCTTTTCTAGTACCATAAAGACTGAAAGTGTTTCCATGTACAGCTCAAAATGAAAAAAGGTCTACCCCTCCATCCTTCTGCATAATAGTGTATTTTCTATTACCCCATTTCTATTTCTATTGTATTTCTACTAATATGAGAGGAATAATAAGGTAGAGGAAGCATCCTCATGAAACCCAGTGACACTACAACAACAGCAACAAGATTGAATTTATAGAGCTCCTTTCACTTCGGGAGGACGTCCCAAGGTGCTGGACAGTTGGGTCGGGACCCGAGCAAGGGGGAAATGGTCAGGGTGAGGGGAGGGAAGGAGCAAGGAGGGGGTAGAACGTCGAGAGAGGAGCTGAAGGCACGGTTGAAGAGAAAGGTCTTGAGACCGGCCTTGACGGAGGAAAGGGAGGAGGCGGCGAAGGCACTGGGGGATGGAGTTCCAGAGCCTGGAGGCTGAGAGACTGAAACCCGGCCACCGATGGTAGGGCGATTAGGGCAGGGGATGTGGAGCAGACCGGAGCCGGAAGAACGGAGGGTACGGGCAGGTAAGTAGGGGGATAGTAGGTCAGAGAGGTAGGAGGGAGCGAGGCCGTGAATGGCCTTGTAGATGAGGATGAGGATCTTGAATTCGATCCTCTGGGGGAGGCGAGCGAGGGTGGGAGTGATGTGGTCGCGAAGCCTGGTGCGGGACAGTACACGAGCTGCAGAGTTCTGAATGACCTGCAGCTTGTGGAGGGAGGTGCCGGGAAGGCCAACGAAGAGAGTTCCCGTAGTCCAACCTTGAGGTGATAAAGGCGTGGACCAGAGTTTCAGCAGCGTGAGGGGTGAGGTAATGCCGTAGTCTGGCGATGTTCCCGAGGTGGTGGAAGGCAGTGCCAGTTGTGGCGCAGATGTGGGAAGAAAGGACAGCTCAGGGTCGAACAGAACCCCGAGGTTCCTGACTGGCTTTGAGAGGTGGAGAGTGCAGCCTTGGATGCTGATGCTGTCAGCGCCTGAGGTGCGGAGGTGCTGACGTGAGCCAATCAGGAGGGCCTCAGTTTTGCGCACGTTGAGCTGAAGAAAGTTGTCTCTCGTCCAGGACTCGATGTCGGACAGGCGGCTGTCAGGACATCGGTGGTTGTGGAGTTGAAGGTAGAGGAGGAAAGGTAGAGTTGGGTGTCATCTGATTACATGTGGAAGTTAACCCCATGTCTGCGGATGATGTCACCAAGGGGGAGCATATAGAGGGTGAAGAGGGACCGAGGACAGAGCCCTGAGGGACACCGCACGAGACAGTGCGGGGGGTGGAGGAAAAGCCGTTAGCGGAGACAAAATGAAGACGGTGGGAGAGGTACGACCTAAACCACTCAAGGACAGGGCCTTGAAGGTTGAGGTGGGAGGACAAGCGGTGGAGGAGGATAGCGTGGTCGACCGTATCGAATGCGGCCGATAGGTCGAGGAGGACGAGGAGGCAGAGGGAGCCCTGGTCGCAGATGGTCAAGATGTCATTAGTGACCTTGACCAGGGCAGTTTCCGTGCTATGGGCAGCACGGAAACCCGACTGGAGGGGTTCAAAAAGTGAATGGGTGGAGAGGAAAGAGCGCAGCTGGGAGGGACGACTCTTTCGAGAACCTTGGACAGGAAGGGGAGGTTGGAGATGGGCCGGCAGCTTGATAGCTGCGACGTATCAAGGGAGGGTTTTTTCAGTGGGAGTAATGGTAGCTGTTTTGAGCGGAATGGGAACAGAGCCAAAGGAGAGGGACAGGTTAATGGTGTCTGGGAGAAGTGGGGCAAGAAGGTGGAGCTGGGAGATAAGGAGTGGAGTGGGGATGGGGTCCAGGGAGCAGGTGGTAGGTTTCAAGGACAGGATGAGGTTGGTGACAGAGGGTGGGGAAACGGGTTTGAAGGTGTGTAGGGGATGATGGTAGGAGTCGGAGTGTGGGAGGGAAGGGGTGAGGGGAAGTTGGAGGGGCAGTGACTGCGGAGCGGATTCCCTTGATTTTGGATTAAGAAAATCCAGCATCTCCTCACAGTGAAGGTTGGAGATGACCTGCGCGGGGTGGTGGGGGGCATGGAGGTGTCGGGATATGGTGGAGAACAGAAGCCTGGGGTTGTTCTTCGCCTCCAGGATTATCCTGGAGTAAAAGGACGACTTGGCCGAGGCTAGAGTGGAGCAGTAGGTTTTAAGGAGGTCCATCCAGATTTCCCGGTGGACTGTTAAACCAGATTTGAGGCAGGTGTGTTCAGCGGCCCGCACATGGCTCTTCAGTGAGAAATTGTTATTCTATTGAAAGCAGAGGATAGGAATCAAGTAGCTGTTCAGAAGAGAAACATGAAATAGAGAGAGGAAGAAAATCCTGGTACTGCTGCAAGAATATACTGTAAAGTGGAATGTACTGTAAAGTGGTTTGACTGTATTTTGCAAAAATGAGAGGAATAATAAGGTAGAGGAAGCATCCTCGTGAAACCATGACAAGCAACAATACAATAGGGCAAATTTGGTTGAAATATGAGTATTTGTGTGTGGATTAAATGTTTATGTATGTGGCATTCACAAATTTGAAATTACTTTTAGTGCGTTAAGTTCCAATTTCAAGTAAAAAATATAACATTTTTTCCTGTGAAAGGTTCTTCCTGTGAAAGGTTGTATTGCAAGACAACATTGTAATTATAGCCACTCAGTGCTTTTTGTCGCTATTCATGTTCTAAAAACCTATCAAGATTCCCATATAAACATGTCTTTAACTAACACTCTACAATACAAATGGTTTAGCTTAGTGAACAATTCATTAGTCCACTAGATGCACCGAATTATTGCATTTGCACCCCCATTTGCTGATAAAGCAATTACACAGAAAAACTGGATCAACAAGAGCCATAATTTGAGAGTATTGCCCCCAACTCTTTAGAATGAAAACAATGATACCAGTTTAGTTCTGTACATAGTATATTTTATAAAATCACACACAACAGAGACAAGTATACAACACTAAACAAATTACAAAAATAGCAAAAAATGCTAATCATTTTGAAGTCAATAACTGAACACAAAGGATTAATGGAATGTAAATGGCAACATAATATTCTCAGTCAAATTAGTGGTCCACATGTTGCTCCTTTATTATGTTATCGTAACATCAAACTGTCGTTACTATACTTGACTACTTTATTGGGATTTTGTTATGTACGTTTGATTACATTTATTCTCAGTAAAGAATTAATTTGATTGAAACCATTACTATCTTGCAAGTAATCCTTTACACACTGAACCACAGGTCTTGAGTCATGAAAACAAATCCAAATAAATCTTGTTCGCAGTATTTAAGAAAACATTTTCCATTGAATTAGTGTCGAACACTGATCCCTGTATATTGTTCAGTTATTAAAGGTATTTTTTAAAGAAAAAAAGCAAACTCCAGTGCTGCATCAAAAAAATATTTGGGATCAAGTAAGGCTAAAAATAGAGGCAAAAATCAAACCAGAAAAAATAAAATTCATTCCTGAGACAATCTCCAGTAGATTTCACAAGGCCCCAGCGTGAATTTACTAATCATTCAAACAAAATTAATTTTCTTCATCAATTTTCTGCTTTGCAATAACCATAATACATTAAAAAAAATTGAAGGGATGCAGGAATGAAAACAACTGAAGTGGAAGTTAACGTTTTCCAAAAAATAGACTGATTCAGCAGAACTTGGCTCTACCAGCTTTAATCCCAAGCTTTTCCAACAGCTCCATCCCCATCAGAACTGAACTTCTTGCTGAGCCAATAGAAACAACTTTTATTCAGCCACTAAATTGAAGCAAGTTCTTATCTACCTCAGACTCAGTGTGTAGCTGTTCAATGATCCATGCATTTGCCCAAGGTATGCAGTTGAAGCATAACGCTAAATGTTCAAAGATTTGGGGATACACAAATCATTAGTAGACATTTTTCAGTATCTTAAATACTGATAAACAAAGTGCATGAAATGATCGTACAAACGCTGCTCTCCTCTTGTAGGGCATATACTCATCTTTTAACCTCTACACTATGTGATGGCAGATGAACAGCTGGATTGGTCTTGAATATTCAGAACACTGCTGTACGTCTTTAAGCGCTTAGCTAGAAATGGAGAGAAAATTAATTAACAATACAGTAAAGCAGCTGGTAATGGTCTTATTTAACTTCAATCTTAGAAAAGCATTTTGTGGAAGGAATAACCCAACCAGCACTCATATCTCTCTTACTGCCATTAAAACAGGAACCTGCCACCAAGGTCAATGGTGTGACAAAACACTATAGTAAGACTGCAACTAAATGAATTGCTTTCAACAAACACACATTTCCAATTCAATTTACATTTGTATAGTAACTTTCACATCAAGAGGACGTCTCAAAGTACTTAGTAAGTTTTAGTAGGTTTTTAGAAGTTAGCTTTACAAAATAATGTTTATTAGTCTGACTCCAACAGTACTTTATTACAGAGCAAACTATAGTGTATATAGCAGGTACTCACGTTGTATCAGCTTCCACTTCTTCTGTTCAGAGTGAAGGAAGCTACTGAGGTAGAAGATGACAGGCAGGAAAAGAAGAAAAACTGACACTGCAATGACTGGGATCGTGTCACTGCAGGGTACAGTGCAGTTGTAGGTTTTGCTCCAGAGTTGTCGAGTCAAGTTCATCTGAAATCAACAATGGAAGTACGTTAGTCGTTTATGCATACAGTGTAGCTTAAACTCCAACAACAGACGCTGACTAAAGATCACAGTAGCCTTCAATCTATCAACTCTTTCCAATTCATCAAGCCAAACCTATTAATATTAAGTGTTCCAGTGAGAGAATTATTTTCTTTCTCACAAGTTCTACTTTCCTTTTAGTAGCAACTTGATAAAGAGTGTCAACAAGCTATTTGACCATTACACCCTACCATGTTCTTGTTTTTGCCAGTTGTCTACACATAGGTACTTCTAGGTCTAGACTGGTGATCCACTGCTTTACACTTGTGAACACCGACTGCATTTTATTGCCCTCCCTGGGTTTATTAAGTGTGCAGAGTAAAGAAAACATCATCCAATATATTGTATAAATGTGGAAAAGGAACAGCCTTAAAAAAGGACCGAAAAATCATAAACTTCCACGAGTCTGATTTTTCATACTCAACTATTGCTGTCATTTGATTCAACTGGAATGCCATCTTTATGCTGATAAAGCATGTGAGAGTGTAAATCATTGCTAAAACCATTTGTTTCTTGCAATATATTTAGAATTTGGTTGACACTGGAATTTGGCAGACTTACATGATTAAAATAAGATATATAGTCACATATAATGTTATACTTACTGCATCCTCAATGTCTATACACAGATTCTGATTTTTCTGCATTTTGTTGTACCAGGCAGTCAAATTCTTGTAAGATTCTTTACAGTTAGTGCAGAGAATAGACAGGTTGCTTGGTTGCCCATTATGATTGGGGTGGTCCTACAGAACAAAGAAATTAAATCATTGCCTTTGTATTTCACCTCATTCTGCAGCACAAGCCTGTTAGCACCGATATCAAATATCATTGGTATCATGGCTATAACAGTAAATTTAATACTTGACTGAAATTGTAGCATTTTCTCCCTGAAAAAGAGTAAGAGCAATATAAGATTCCCACAAAATACCACAATGGAAAATACCCATTGTTTGTTGCAATTGCTGTGCTAAACTACTTTCAGCAGTCACACCACAGATACAGTCATTCGTACACTTTGTTAGAACAATACACCAGAAATGGGGAAGCTTAGCTATGAGGACAGGCTGGAGAAGTTAGGACTGTTCCCATTAGAGCAGAGAAGGTTACGCGGGGACCTGATAGAGGTCTTCAAGATCATGAAAGGTTTCGACAAGCGAGATAGGGAAAAGCTGTTTCCGCTGGTAGGTGTGTCTGTGAACCATGGTCACAGTCTTAAGATATCTACCAAAAGAAGCAGAGGGGAAGTTAGAAGAAATTTTTTCACTCAGTAAGTTGTTAAGAATTTGGAATGATCTGCCTGAAAGGGTAGTGAAGTCCGATTCGATAACAGCTTTTAAGAGAGAACTGGATAGGTATCTGGAGAAGACAGGTTTGCAGGGTTACGGGGAGAAAGCTGGTGAGTGGGGTTAATAAAAGTCAGTTGCTCTGTCAAAGAGCCGGCACAGACTCGATGGGCCGAATGGCCTCCTTCTGTGCCGTAACATTCTATGATAATAATTACCAATAGCATTAGTGCCATTTTGAATAATTTTCCTTAATTTCTCTGACTAGGAAATAAACCTCCCCTTGAATCTTGCTCAGTGAGTGATCATTGCTCCCCAGCATGGTAGCATAAATATTTTAAATTAGCTTATGAATATTTGAGTGCTAATCTCTGCTTCATGCCACTGAACCAAATGGATTTTTAATGTAATGGGGAGCAGTCAGCACTGATACAAACAGCAAAAATATTTCCTGGGAAACAATTCCATTCAGATAAATGTAATTTAAAATTTAAAGGCCAATCATGTAGGGTCTTTAAAGTTATTTTTTTTCAGAATTTCACAATGCTTGATTCAGGATGGATTTTATGCAATTATTTAGCACCAAGAAATGCATCAGAAACACTTGCTATCTAAGAGGAAAGTAACTGTTTAGAGATGTGCTGTGATAAAATGAACCAACTACCTTTAACAAGGACAGAAAATGCAAATCATGTTTTTTTTAAAAACAATTTTCGTTAATTTGTTCTCAAATTATTTTTTTAACACAAAATGGAGACCTTGAAATCTAACAAAAATTAGATGAGAGAAGCTTCTTCCCTTCCTTAAAAGCTCCCATTTATTTCTCCTCTTAGGTTAGTTTGTGTTTTATGGTCCAGATTTGAAGTAGCAAAGCAGCTTTTGTTCTTAGAGTGGCACTGTAACAACAACAACAAATTACATTTGTATAGCACCTTTCACGTAGGGATTTGGACCAGAGTAGGGGTTTGGGATCAGGAGGGCTGGAGGTTAGGGAGGGTAGGCGTAGGGGGTGATCGAAGGCAGTGTCGAAGAGGAGGATCTTGAGAAGGGTCACAGCTTCTAATAGATACAAGTACACAGCAACAGAGCAGGCTGAGCCCTCAACTGCAGCTGAAGACCTGACTGGAAAAGACAAAGCTGGCCTTTCAAGCTGCAAAGCTTGTTGTAAAATTGCAAGATCTGACCTAGAAACAAGAGTATTTAGATCAACTGTTGCTAAAAGTGAGCAATGGAAAAAAGGCTTTGAAAACAAAAATCAATTTCAATTTTTAAATTTACATCTAGAGGACTGATGCATTTGATGCTGCGTGGGAGTGCTGAAATCCTTTCATTACCAAGCACTATAAATGCAACTAGCTTTAGAAAAATGAACCTCTGTTGAATATTCAAATTACCGAAGAGTATTGTTCAAAACAATTCAGAGAATTATTCAGCATCTTCTTGAAGATTAGACTGTCCGCTGAGAGTTCCGTTTTGCTCTCATTTAAACAGGCTGTTTGAAACAAAACAAAAACAGGTTAGAAAATAAGAAAACTTAAAATTGCTAATAGAGCTGTACTTAGAAATTCTATTACATTAAATATTTTATGCATTTTCAATGCAAGCATTGACAGAATTTGTTTTGATAAATAATATACATTTTTCAGGGAAAAGAAAAAAAGTGGTATAATGGATGGTGGATCTCAGTTCACAGCTTTTGAGCAACATTTTACATTAAATAAGCAGACTAAAATAACACTAACTCAGACATAAATTTTAAAATAAATGCAGACACCGTGTTAGAATACAGAATTTAAAAATAAGAAAACTTCAAAGCCCCACTATAGACAAGAGGGGTACTCACTGTCCTACACAGTTCTGGATACAAGCCCCAGCTTGCAACTTTGAGCTCAAAGTCCAGCCGGACCCTCGGGAGTACAACATTGTCTGAGGCGTCACCCTTCAGATGAGATGTTAAACTAAGGTACCATCTGCATGTTCATGTGGATGTTAAGATTGCACAACACTATTTGTCCTGATCAATAATCCTCACCAGATGAAGTTGGTTCAAAGGCTCTTTGTCAGACTTCACGATGCACAAATTGACTGCTATATTCACCTACAAATGCACAATCGCTACACTGCAGAAAATCTTTGAAGTGCTTTTGAGATGTTTCATACAAAATATACCATACGTTGTAAGGTTCATTTTAAGAGCGATACTAATGATAAATGTAGCTCTAAATAAGAATTTCAGAACAACTCTATAAGATATTTTATGCAGCTCAAATGCAAGTAAATAAACTGACCATCACAATTGGATTTGCTCCAAATTTCCTGCAGAAATCTATATAACTTAAGGACTAATTGCAAACGGTCGGATCTCAAAAGTTGCGTAGAACAGCTGATGTTCCCGGAGCTTTTCTGGAAGGTAAAAACAAAAATTACAAATAATGGGGGGAAAAAACAGATTTTATTTCAATGAAGTAGACAGCAAATTCATGGTACAAAGAAAATGTAATTATTGTGGCTAGCCAAAATATAACTGCATATTCTGAAATCATATTGCTCTCTGGATCACACGCAAATATGGATCCTCCATTCAATGTGCAGTGGTAAAACATAGCATGCACTTTGGAATAAATAATTATTTTTGCTATGAATCAACTAGGCAGAAGGCGTTATCTCCTCAATAATAATCCTTGCATTTGGTATATCACATCAGAAGGACGTCTCAAAGTGCTTCACCGGTATTACTATAAAAATGGAGTGACTTGCGTATTTGTTGACAAATGCAGCACAATTGTGCACAGCAATATCCCACAAACAGACAAATGACCAATTTTATTTGAGGGATTGTTGGTCAGGATACCAGGAAAAACTATCTTCTCTTTTTGAATATTTCCATGGGATCCTTAACATCCACCTGAACAGGCAGAAGTGACCTTTGCTTAACATCTCACCTGTCACCTGAAGGACGGCACTTCCGGTAATGCCCCACACCCCCAACACTACATTGGAGCGTCTGCTTAGACTATGTGAGTTAAAAGTCCTGACGTGGGATTTGAAGCCACAACCTTCTGACGCAGAGGCAAGAGCTACCACTGAACCAAGCTAACATAGGACCTCCTCAACAGAGGTCTTCTGGTGACTTCTCTCTGGGTATTGAATACAGAGGATGAAAATTATTTAAGGATTTTTTGTTCTAAAAATAAATTCATCAGACTTTTCTTCAGGATGGGTCTGCAAAAATGGCTCTCGAGCAAGTCCAGGTCCTATGCACTTAGCAACAATTTTCAAAGTGGCAAGGGGTTCCCTAAACATAATTTTCCCAGACCACACTTCCAAAGCCAAACAAATGGGCTGCAAAGCATGTAATATTTATGCTGATATATAATTATCAAGTATAATTGAAATCGGTTCCATGCAAGACAAAACCTGTAGAAAATGCTGCAATTCCCTCCATTCTGATCTCATGTGCCCCAATAATCTGCTTATTTTATTCTTTTCAATAACAATTTCATGGAGTAGTGCTTCAAAAGACGATTATGAAAAAATTCTATGAGATCCTTTGGCTCTCCAAATTCCCCTCACAAGAGATATGAAGAGTAACCCAGACAGATGTTAAATATGCAGCCTGAGTGGGTATCATTCTGTTTCAGTGCAAATTTAAATGTACAAAAACCTCATTTTTTCAATGTTAAAATTAAGAAGTTTTGATAATATTAAACCACAAGAACATGTTACAGCTTGTAATTCCCCCCAACTGGACTTACAATATACATGAATGAAACAACTATAATAGGTATTGTGCTTAACACTAGTCTTGTGAAGTGTTTGAGAATTTTCTATGGACGAAAATATAAATATATATGCTGATTGTTAGTCAATTAGCAAATCGATTTCCAGGGGTAGTTCCTTCAAAATAAATTTAAATAAGATAAAAACACTTCCTGTAACATATATGTCCTCTGGCAACCGTAGAGCAATTGTTACCTCTCAGCTACAATGTTCCAATCTCTTTAATGGGTTCCTGCTGGTAGTGTGTAACTTTATGTATGTTTAACAATTTGTATTCCATTCAGTGTACTGTTTAATGAATATTGATTTCTGCCATGTGTCTTTGCTCAGCAGAGGGAAGGAGCTTGTGCTTGTGTGGATTTGGAGGGAGGGTTATAAGTCATTTCACGTTCTGTAGTTAAGATGATTATTTTGAACTGTTTCAATCTACTTCTAATAGGATGTCCTAATTCTTCCTGGGGAAGTTATTTTTAAATGATCAATACAATGAATAATAATATAATAATCCTTGCATTTGATATAGCAACTTACCATTTTCCGGATTAAAAATTACTTCAAAAAAATTGGTCACTCCTGTTTGTGGGATACTGCTGTATGCTATTGCCTCCACGATTTGCCAACAAAATATACAGTCACTACGCTTTACAGTGTATCCTATGAAGTGCTTTGAGATGTCTTGAAGAGGTGATAAAGTGCTATATCAAATGCAAGGATTATCATTATTATTACGACAACCCCAGTGAAGAGAGAAGAATGGTCGACTTCTTCCCTGCACTTCCAGCGTTCATTATCCAGCACTAGTGTGGCAAGGTTGTCTCAGCCCCTCCCTCAGATTTCTGTTCCCAATTCCTTACCAAAGAAATTGGTTTCCTGAGTTTTAGGGAACAACTAAAGGTCAAATAATTTTGGGAATATTTCATGTAAAGAATTAACCATTCAGGATTGTTACTACATTTTTGATAAAGGGTAATGGAGCTCACCATTCGAGTAGGCATTACCGTCTGTCATTCAAAATACTGTCATCGCCCAGAATGTTTTCATTCATTTTTCTACTATATTTCCTTTTTAATTCAATTTCTTCCATTTTAAACACCTTTTTCATTGTTCCCTTCAAATGCCTTAAACATTTTATTTCCTTCTTTATTTCTCTGCTTGTTTAATTTTCTCTTACATCTTCTATCCTTCAGATATTCTCCCATTATTTTTTGACATTGTGCTTTACCTGTCTCAATCTCACCTGTGATGTCCAAAATACAGTCAGTTTATTCCAAAGGAAATTACATTGACCCATACTCCTTAGTGAGAGACAATTTGCTCCATTATCACAATGGGTTATCGAGCAGTTTCAATCACAATCAGCAGAATGGGCAAGATCTTATTACAGCAGTTGGCCAAATGTTATACTCCACATGAACCGCCACTCATCTTAAGCTCCTCTCCACCTACCATATTCTTTTATTCCCTTCTCCCTTATAATATGCCTTGACTTCTCTTAAATTCAATGATGCTTTCTGTTTCAACCACTGCTTCTGGCAGTGAAGTTCCGCATTCTCACCACCATCTGTGTAAAGATGTTTCTCCTACACTCTCTTTCAGATCCACTAGTGTATTTATTTCTTCTTGTTATGGTCTCGCCAACAAGTGAGAACAGCCTATTTAAAAACACTTTATCAAACCCTTTTATAAACATCTCCATCATGTCCTCTCTCAAACATGTCATCTCTAAAGAAAAAACACTCCATCCTGTCCAGTCTTTCTTCATACAGTAGTTGCATTCTCTCATCCTTAGTAACATCCTAATAAATCCAAGATGTACTCCCCATTTCTACAGGACTCCTTCCTTGTAGTATAGCAACTAGACTGAACGATGTACTCTAATTATGATCTGCCAAGGTTTTACATGAATTTAACATGACTTTTGTACTCTATTCCTGAGACACAATGCCAAGGATTCTATTTGCATTATTTATAGTATTTTCCATCTGTGCTGCTACTTTTGTAAACCTCTGAAGTCCCAAAATCCCTTTGCCTAAAAGAGACTTATAAGAGAAATTAGATAAAGGGGCACAACACGGGAGGGAAGTGAATACAGTATTGGTCAAACTCTGTAACTAAGAATAACAATTCAGAACTTCCTCAATTGTGTGACAATTGAATTGTTCTGCGAGATGTAAGAGGGCTTTCATATTCAATCAATCAATCAGCCCTCGTTCAGCAAAGGAGCGTTACAGACACTTTCTGCACATGTTGAAGGAATTCAACGCAGCCCCTCACTTCACCCACCCCCTCCCTCACCCTCCCTCCCTCCCTCACACACCCCCTCCCTCTCCTCCCTCACCCACCCCTCACCCACCCACCCCTCACCCACCCACCCCTCACTTCACCCTCACCCACCCCCTCACTTCACCCTCACCCACCCCTCCCTCACCCTCCCCTTCCTCCCTCCCTCACCCACCCCCTCCCTCACCCACCCCTTCCTCCCTCCCTCACCCACCCCCTCCCTCCCCCACCCACCCCTCCCTCCCCCACCCCCTCCCTCTCCTCCCTCACCCACCCACCCCTCACCCAACCCCTCCCTCTCCTCCCTCACCCACCCCTCACCCACCCACCCCTCACCCAACCCCTCCCTCTCCTCCCTCACCCACCCCCCTCACTTCACCCACCCCCTCCCTCACTTCACCCACCCCCTCCCTCACTTCACCCACCCCTCCCTCACTTCACCCACCCCCTCCCTCACTTCACCCACCCCCTCCCTCACTTCACCCACCCCTCCCTCCTTCACCCACCCCCTCCCTCCCTCACCCACCCCTCCCTCCCTCCCTCACCCCCTCCCTCCCTCCCTCACCCACCCCCTCCCTCCCTCACCCACCCACCCCCTCCCTCACCCACCCCCTCCCTCCCTCCCTCACCCGCCCCCTCCCTCCCTCCCCCCCTCCCTCCCCCCCTCCCTCCTCTCCCTCCCTCACCCACCACCCCCTCCCTCCCCCTCCCTCCCTCTCCCTCACCCCCTCCCTCCCTCCCTCACCCCCTCCCTCCCTCTCCCTCCCTCCCTCCCTCACCCACCACCCCCTCCCTCCCCCTCCCTCCCTCCCTCCCTCCCCTCCCTCCCTCTCTCCCTCCCTCCCTCACCCACCACCCCCTCCCTCCCCCTCCCTCCCTCTCCCTCACCCCCTCCCTCCCTCCCTCACCCCCTCACTCCCTCCCTCACCCACCGAGATGTTGTCGAAGTTCCCCCAGAAGTTGTGGAATTGGGGGATGCAGTCCTCGCAGAGCCGCACGGGCCGCGCGTTCTTCAGCGCGCAATCCACCAGAGAGGCGCAGCTGTTGGCGAAGTCCCGCAGCAGCTCCCGGCAGCTCTCGTCCACCGCCAACTCCTCCAGCAGCGGCGGGGCCGAGGCCAGAGGCCAACTCAGCCTCCAGGAGGGGGCGCTGCCGCCGCCGCCGCCGCCAACACCGCCCTGTGAGGCCGCGAGGGGCCCAACCACCAAACGGTCCCACAGCAACTCCTCCGCCACCAGCGACACCCCTCCCCCGACCGGGGACATTCCTCCCAACGGCTCCCCGGCGGCGGCGGCGGCCAGACGGCCCAGACCGCGCCCCCACACCGAGCTCAGCAACACGGCCATCAAAACAGCGACGCCCGCCATGTCTGACCGTACTGCGCAGTCGCAGAGCCCGCAGCCGGCCGGGAGCGCCTGCGCACTGAGCGGCCGCCGCAGCGGGGGTGGGGGGTGGGCGGGGTCAGTGACGTCAGGAAGGGCAGCGGGGCGCACGCGGCTGGAGTGGGCTGGTCACTTGCTGTGCTTCGGGCAAACTGGGTCCTTGGCTCACGTGCAACCAAACATGTTTTATAATAATAATAATAATCCTTGCATTTGATATAGCGCTTTTCACGTCAGGAGGACGTCCCAAAGCGCTTCACAGAACACACTGTAAAGTGAATTGACTGTATATTTATGGGCAAAACGCACAGCCAATTGCGCACAGCAATGTCCCACAAACAGTCGTGGATTGAAAATGACCAATTTATTATTGTTTTGTTTTAGAGGGATTGTTATTATTAGGTGTGTGGAGTAAGGAAACTTGCCCAAGGTTTTGCCCTCTGCCTGGAATTGAACCCAGGTCTCTCGCTTGCAAAGCGAGTGCTCTAACCACTGAGCTACAGGACTACAGGACTTAGGGTATGCCAACCAGACAGAGGTCCACGTGTGTGTGCCGTCTACACGTGGAAACTTCCCGGTGCCCAGAGCGGAAGGTGCACTCTCCCTGGGGACACGCACCGAGTTTACCCAATTCTGGAGAGTGTTAGGTGCAGGTTGGCAAGAGCCAAGGCTTGAGTGTGCATTTGAGTCCTGCTGGACCCCAAGTTTGTCCAGCTAGGACCACCCTAGCCTTCAGGGCTTTGGTTTCACCCACAAAATACACAGTCAATCCACTTTACAATATATTCTGTGAAGCGCTTTGAGACGTGATAAGGCACCATATCAAATGCAAGTACTATTATTATTTGGTTTAAGGGTTAACAGGAGCTAAATGGGAGGAATTCCTATTTCCAGTGACTGGTCCTGCTGATGAGCCCTGTTGGTTGGTCTATCATTAGCAGTTCCCAAGGGTGCTGTGGACCAATCTCCCTCAGTATTGGATTACTGAGACCACCACAGAAGTCTTGTTAACTATATTATGTTAAGTGTTTTTGCTTGGAGCCAACAACTAGAGTTGCAAAAACTGAACAATTCAATTACTGAGTACGTTGTCTCAGTTTTCTAAACTAGAAAGCAAGCACAAAACTTAAATGTTTTTAAGTTAAATGGTTTGCTTTTTGTGCCTTCTCATCTGGAGACAATAGTTATTAAGATTATTAAGGCAGTTTACTGCTATTAGGACAGACTGGTTAGGTCTTTCCTCACTCAAGACACTTAACAACAACAACAAGATTTTGTTTATAGAGCGCCTTTCACGTCAGGAGGACGTCCCAAGGCGCTGGACAATTGGGTCGGGACCCGAGCAGGGGGAAATGGTCAGGGTGAGGGGAGGGAAGGGAGGGAGCGAGGAAGGGGTAGAGAGTCAAGAGGGGAGCTGAAGGCACGGTTGAAGAGAAAGGTCTGGAGACTGGCCTTGAAGGAGGAAAGGGAGGCAGCAAGGCGAAGGCACTGGGGGATAAATAATAATAATAATCCTTGCATTTGATATAGCGCTTTTCACGTTGGGAGGACGTTCCAAAGCTCTTCACAGAACACACTGTAAAGTGAATTGACCGTATATTTGTGAGCGAACGCGGCAGCCAATTGCGCACAGCAATGTCCCACAAACAGTCGTAGATTGAAAATGACCAATTTATTATTGTTTTTGGTTTTGGAGGGATTATTATTAGGCGTGTGGAGTAAGGAAACGTGCCCAAGGTTTTGCCCTGCCTGGAATTGAACTCAGGTCTCTCACTTGCAAAGCGAGTGCTCTAACCACTGAGCTACAGGACTCCATGCAGGACTCTGGATGGAGTTCCAGAGCCTAGGGGCTGAGAGCTGAAGGCCCGGCCACCGATGGTAGGGCGGTTGGGGTGGGGGATGTGGAGCAGACCGAAGCTAGAGGAACGGAGGGTACGGGCAGGTAACTTAAGAGGGGTGATAGAGGTGTTTAAAATTATAAAAGGGTTAACATAAATAAGTTGTTTCCAATGTTGAGGAGTCCGTAACCAAGGGACACAAATATAAGATAGTGGCTTGGGAATCTAAAAGAGAATTTAGGAGGAACTACTTCACCCAGTAGGTAGTGAAATTGTGCAACTTGTTGCCTGAAATGGTGGTTGAATCAGATAATGCAGATACAACAAAGACAACAAGAACTTGTATTTATATAGCACCTCTCATGTAGGCCAGTCCCTCTCCTCTGCTCAGTCTTTGCCCCCCTCAAAACTGCTGTCATCACCTCCCTCCTCAAAAAAACGTCCCTAGATCCCTCAAACCCTAGCCACTACCACCTTATTTCAAACTTGTCCTTCCTCGCCAAAGTCCTAGAACGCATTGTTGCCAATCAACTCCAGACACACCTCTCCTCCCACTTCCTCTTCGAATCCCTCCATTCCAGTTTCCGCCCTGTCCACAGTACAGAGACAGTAGTCGATCACACCATCCTCCTCCACCACCTTTCCTCCGTCATCCACCTCAGTGGGACCGCACTCGCCTGGTTCGAGTCCTACTTCACAAACCGCCAGCAGTACATCTGCACAAACAGCTTTTCCTCCCGCTTTCACCCGGTCACCTGTGGGGTATCCCAAGGATCCATCCTTGGCTCCCTCCTCTTCCTGATCTATATGCCATCGCCCGTCTCCGCCAATACCTCACTCCAAAAGCTGCTGAAACCCTGACAAAATGCCTTTGTCACCACTCGACTGAACTATTCAAATGCCCTCCTCACTAGTCTCTCCTCCACTACCATTCATAAAATCCAGGTCACACAAAACTCTGCTGCCTGCATTCTTACCCGCACCAAACTCCGCTCCCCGATCACCCCAGTCCTTGCCAGACTGCACTGGCTGCCTGTCCCAGAGAGGATCGACTTCACGATCCTCACCTTTGTCTTCAAATCCCTCCACTCTTCAGCAACCCCTACCTCTCTGACCTCCTCTCTCCTCACAACAGTGCCCGTTGCCTTCGCTCCACCGGGTCTGGCCTCCTCCTTGTCCCCCGAGTCCTCTGCTCCATCGTCGGCGGCCGTGCCTTCAGCTACTGTGCCCCGAGGCTCTGGAACTCCCTTCCTCACTCCCTTCGCCTCATCCCCTCTCTTCCCATTTTCAGGTCTCAGCTGAAGACCTTTCTTTTCGACCGCGCCTTTGGTCACCTTCTTCCCCCTCCTCCTGGCTCAGCCCCAGGATTGTATTGTTACTGTGAAACCCTCTGAGACGCCGTCCGGCATGGAGGGCGCTATATAAATCTAAGTTGTTGTTGGTAGTGTCCCAGAGCACAAGATGCATTTAAGAGGAAGCTAGATCTTCACATGAGGGAGATGGGAATAGAAGGAGGGAGTAAGGAGTGGGTGGAGAATCGTTTGGAATATAAACACTGCACAGACTGGCTAGGCTGAGTGACCTGTTTCCATACTGTACATTCTTTGTAAATCTTTGTAACATGATATTGATTGAAACAATTCTTATGAATAATTTAATAAATGTTTAATTTAAATCCCTGGAATGGTAACATCTTTTGTGTGACATTTCTTAATTAAACCCATAAAATTGTGATCATTGGCTCATTTATCTATTAAGTGAATTGCTGTAATGGGAAAACTCTCAGCAAACCAGTTTGCATCAGTGAAAGGTCTTAGGATTCCCTACTCCCCTTATTTCATGATTACTCATTTTATTCTGACTTTTTTGACTATTAATCACTATGATCTAGGCTGCCTTCAGATCTCCCTCCACAAACACTGAAGCGTCCCAATTAAATTATTGAAATGACTCTAGGATGACCCCTTACCCTATAGTACAGTATATTAGAAGGACTTTGCTCTGATAACTTACATGGGGTTTGTTACTTAAGTAGATAACATTCTTGGAGTGAAAATACACAGCAGTCACTCTCCCAATGATTACAATAACAGTCACACACTGCAACTGATAGTGGAGTAGTATTGTTACCTCTCATCCTCCAATCACAGCATCAAGCTATTTTTAAATGAGTCATTTGTCCTGGCCTCAACCACCCTCCTGGCAACCTGTTTGAGTCATTAATTCTTGTTATCTGTCCTGAAACTTCCCTTTGCAATTCTAAGCCTATGTTGCCGTGTTCTATCATCTTGGTGGATCATAAAGTATTGTTCAGGGTTTACTTTTTCAATCCCATTTAAAATGTTTTACACTTCTATAAGCTCTGTCTTGTAGACAGAGTGACTGGACAAAACTAGCAAATTTCTTACAAAGTTCTCATTAATTAGAATTTTCTTTACATACTGTAGTAGTGGATAATGTTCTAAAGACTATATAATACCACTAATATCTTATTTATAATGCCTCTTGCATAAGAACGCATGAGAAAAAAGCCAATTGGGCTCATCACCTTAGCTCTGTGATTCCCAGTTATATTCACACAAGGTTTATATACCTCATTTATCATTGATCCTATCAAGGTCTAGATCCTCCCATTCCTTTTTCTCTCTACTTCAATTTTGCTTTTTCTATTCTTCCTTCTCCCTTGTAGAAATTTATCAAGTTAGCAACTAATAGCCATTAATTTTACACAAACGAGTATATCTCATTACACACACAAAAACACGCAACAACATATCTACTTGAACAAACAAAAGGTGTGCAGGGATGGGATTGGTCTGGAATTCATCTTCTTGTTGATCTAAAGACTCTATGTCCCACTGATCTAGGAACCAACTGCTGACTCCTGAGCATGATATTGTAAAGAGGGAGAACATTCGCAGCAGAATTTATGCTTAGCTAAGTGAGAGAATATTTTACCCACTCTGATTGATAATAACCCCCACACTTGCTCAATCCATGTGAAATATGGAAAGAAAGAGGTTCCAACCATGGAGATATAGATCTCCAGAACTCTGACTATGTTTTGACATCACACCAGAGGCTTGACACTGGCCAAGTTGCTCAAGTTATTTCTGTCTTATCTAAAATTAGATATTGTTACTGGATGTTGATTGTGTTC